TTTACAGAGAAATAACAGTAGAGTGGATGAAGCTGTGAATCAAATCAATGATTTGGAACATAAAGACCCAAGAAACAAAGAATCAGAAAAACAAGAGGAAAAAAGAATCCAAAGGAAAAAAAAAAGGATAGCATAAGTAGCCTTTGGGACAACTTCAAACATTCTAACATTTGCATCATAGGGGTGCCAGAAGGAGAAGAGAAAGAGTGAGAAATTGGAAATCTATTTGAAAAAATAATGAAAGAAAAATTCCCTGATTTGGTGAAGAAAATAGACATGCAAATCCAGGAAGCACAGAGAGTCTCAAACAAAATGAATGCAAACAGGCCCACACCAAGACAAATCATAATTAAAATGCCAAAGGTTAAAGATAAAGAGAGAATCTTAACAGTAGCAAGAGAAAAGCAGATAGTTACCTACGGGAATTCCCATAAGCCTGTTAGCTGATTTCTCAAAAGAAACTTTGCAGGCTAGAAGGGATTGGCAAGAAATATTCAAAGTCATGAAAAGCAGGGACCTACAGCCAAGATTGCGCTACCCAGTAAAGCTATCATTTAGAATTGAAGGGAAGATAAAGAGCTTCCCAGACAAGAAAAAACCTAAAGGAGTTCATCGTTAGCAAACCATTATTATATGAAATATTAAGGGGACTTATTTAAGAAAAAGAAGATCAAAACTATGAACAATAAATGGCAATAAATACATGCCTATTAACAACTGAATCTAAAAAACAAACTAAGCAACAAGAACAGAAATAGAATCATGGATATGGAGAGCATTTTGATGGCTGCCAGGTGGAAGAGGGTATAGGGTGAAGAGGTGAGGGGATAAGAATTAGAAATAGGTAGTTACAGAACAGCCGTGGGGATGTAAAGAACAGGATAGGAAATGTAGTAGCCAAAGAACCTACACATGACCCATGGACATGAACAATGGTGTGGGGATGGCCTGAGGGAGTGGGAGGTGCTAGGTGGAGGGGAGCAAAGGGGGAAAAATTGGGACAACTGTAATAGCATAATCAATAAAATATAATTAAAAAAATTATGTTTCCCGTAGGAGTCAACCTGGGTTTCCCTTTATATATTTCTTTCTTTTTGCTACAAAACTGCTCTGACATTCTAATTTTTACAGTTGAAATCTGAGGCCTTTAAAACTTTAATAAAAACTCAGCCTATTAAAACTTGCTAAATGCTATGGACTCTGGCTTTGTAGAAGTGGGTGAGATGTGGGTAACCCCCACTTATGCCCTCAGCCAAATGACTCACCAGTGTGGTCCAGGGAGGGCAGGCCCTGGGACACAGCCAAGCAAGGAGCCACCAGCGAGGTCAGAGGTGGCCATGCCCACCCCAGAGACTGGGACCTCATCCCACCCCTTCGTCAGGGAGTGTCACAGGCCAGCGTCCCTCTGCTAAGGGCGGACCACCCTCAGCCTCGCTGAGGTGCGAGGGCATCAGGACAGGAGAGAAATGACTGGGACCCGCAGCACCACGCTAGTCACTGTCAGCTTCCCAACTGCAAAGCGCCACCCCCCGCCTCCCGGCTTTTCCTGGGTATCGGTGGGGCCTCAGCACTAATGGCTCAGTGCTAGAAAGTTGGCTTTGCTGTCAGCCAGGGACCCTCTCAGCTCCTTCTCATGTGCCCCCTCTGACTTCACACCCACCCACAGTGCACTGAGTCCTCCTTCCGCTTCAGGGAACACACTCGGCTTTTACACGGGTCACGAGTCAGGCCCCCTGGCAACCTCCCCGTTGCCCTGTGAAGGAAGGAGATCACACAAGGGCGAGGGCTACGAGGGGCCTCTCAGAATCCGACCCATCACACCCACCGCCCCGGCCTTCTGCCCCTTCACAACCCTTACTGCTGTTTACGCTAGTGAGGGACATTTCTCTGTCCTCACCCCCAGTGGGAACTAAAAGCAGACAAGGAAGGGGGAGGCGGGGGCTCCGTGGGTGAGGTCTACCCCTGGTGTGAGACAGAGCCAGCAGGCGCCCTAACCATTGTGGCTCAGTGGGCTGGGTGTCACACTGCAAACCAAAAGGTTGCCGGTTCAATTCTCGGTCAGGGCACGTGCCTGGGTTTTGATTTAGGTTCCCAGACGTTTCTTGTCCTCTCATTCTCCCTCCCTTCCCCCCCCTTTCTAAAAATGAATAAAAATTTGTTTTTTTAAAGAGAGATCTGCGAACAGGCAAAACAAGAACAAAGCCCGGGCCTGAGAGCAATCTGCCGGCCTTTCCTGGAAGTCTGGCTTTTTCCAAAAGGACTGAAGCAAATCCGGGCTGAGCAGAATGCTGGGAGGGGTCTCCCCTCTGAGAAGCGCCGTGTCAATACGGTGTGGACCTTGCGCCCTAGCGAGTGCGTGCCCCTGGCCTTTCACTGCACCTCAGTCCCGGCCGACCTCAACTCGCCACGGAGCTGCGCCTGGGCTCCGTAGGCAGGTCTGGCCTGCTGACTGCCCTTTTCAGTGCTGTTACATCGAGAGGCCACCTTGTATTTGTAAAATTCCAACAGATACCGTCGCTAAAGTGACAACCTCCTCTCTCTGACCCTCCTGGCCTAGTGCCTGGTGCGAGACAAACCCGATGAGAACACAACGTCCTTGCCTCCGTCAGCGAGGGGCCATCGCTCAGGGCCGCCTCCCGACCTCCGTGTCAGCATCCCGTCTGCACACCAGACACACCGGCCCTCCTCCCTGCGTTGCCTGCCTCCACAGCCCTCATTCCCATCCCCTGACATGTGCCTACTTCACGACTCTCCGCGTGAGAAGGACACCCCCTGAGCGCAGAGGTTTTGCCTCTTTTTGTTTCATTCACTGCTGACTTCCTGGCACCTGGAACCGAACAGGCCCTTCAGTAAAAGTTTATCCAGTTAACAGATGGAGAACTTTGACATGACGACAAGAAAGTCATTTTAAGAAGAAATGTGCATGGCTACTGGCTTTCAAAAAGGCTGAGAATTATCTGAGTTTTCTACAATTTATTTTTGGCTTCCTAAGTCTGAGAAACCAAGATTTTGAAGGTATATGAAGCTTCTTAGATGAACAGGTCTAGACAGAGAATATTTTATGAAGAATTAATAAGATACATACACTCTCCATTTACCTGCAAATTCAGAGATTTAACAATGAATGAAATATACTCCAGGCAAATGTGTTTTGGGTTTCATCAAACATAAAATGCCTTGAAAACCCATTTAAGATGTTCACAAAACAAAAGAGAAACACCACAGCAGCTGGAAATACTATTCTTGCTGTTAGACTAGAAATATCCTCCTTAGCCCTGGCTGGTGTGACTCGGTGGATTGACCTACGGCAGGTTACAAACCAAAGGGTCGCCGGTTCAATTTCTAGTCAGGGCACATGCCTGGGTTGTGGGCCATGTCCCCAGTAGGGGGTGCACGAGTAGCAACCACACGCTGATGTTTCCCTCTCTCCCTCCCTTCTGGTGTCTAAACATAAATAATAAATAAAGTCGTTAAAAAAAAAAGTAAAATAAAATTAAGAACTTTGTTCAACAAACATTCAAACTACCCTGAGAGAAGATATTTGCAATTATACATCTATCTGACAAAGGACCAGTATCCAGGATATATAAAGAACTCTCAAAAGCAGTAAAGACCACCTCATTTTAAAAAGGGAGAAAAGACCTGAGCAAGAACATCCAAAGGAGACTACCCAAGCGTCCCGCTGACCTGTGAAGAGGTGCTCCGCCTCATCAGCCAGCAGAGGAATGCAAGCCACGGGCATAGTGAGGAATCGCTACATGCTCCCCCAGAGACCAGGAGTGACAAAACTGACACCACCAAGGACCGGTAAGAATGTAAAAAACAGACCTCCCACATGCTGCTGCTGGGAGGTAACTTGGACCACTGCTTCGGAAGTCCGTTTGGCACTGCCTCCTATACTTCCTTGATTGCATGTCGACCCTGCAGTTCCCAGCAGTTCCATCAGTTACCGACCCGGAAGGAGTGAGCACGTGCGTGTTCCAAAGAGCAGGGGCACGGACGTACCAGCATGGCTCATAACAGCCCCAGACTGGAAACAGCCCATCTGGCCGTCAACGCCGGAACGGATAAAGAAAGAACGGTAAGAGCATACAACAGGTTACTAAATGGTGAAGAAAATAAACTATAGCTATGTGCAACACAGACACAGATAAACCTATGGGTTTACATGGCTAAAACTAGAGCCACAGGCAACAAGCTACATGGGTAAACCTTAGTGCTGCGTGACAAAAGCCAGGCACAAACTTTACAGACTCCTGTAGAACGCCACGAGAAAGCGCTGAGGGGACAGTTGCTAGGTGGAGCGAGGGCTGCGACTGCAGAGTCGCGGGCCCATCTGCGGGGCCTGGCTATGCTCGGATTCTGGGTGTGAGTACCGACGACGTGGTTCGCACTTCATCATTCGTGAAACTGCAATTTACGTTCAGTGCACTTTTATCTTTGTGTGCGTATGATACTTCATAATGAAAAAGCTTAAAGTTGTATCAGATACTACTTTCTTATCTAACTTTCACAGAGAACAAATACTTTTCTGGTAAACTGAAGTTCCTAAACTAAATGCAAACAACTCAAAGTACAGAGAAATTTTGAAGGCTCACGTGTATGGGACCTTTAGGTGAATGAGGAAAAGGGACCCTTTGGGGGAAGATGCTTCAGCAAAGCTGTCTCCATAGGCCGGCGCAGCCCACTGCGTGCCTGCTTGGGGGTCTGGCTCTCCTCCAACAAAGGGAAGGGAGCCCTTCCCCCAGGACAGGGAGCACGGCATTTCAGAGCTCGGTGGCCAGGATGCAGTGCAGACTGGCTTTTGGTGCCGCTGCCTCCAGGTCCGGACACCTCTGCGTCCAGCGTACAGGCAGCCAAGTCTACCTGGCTCCCCGTCTAGGAAACCGGAAATATGACAAAGACACACCCACTGGCCTCTCCAAGCACATGCGTGTCCACAGCACTTTGGCACGGACAACACGGCCCGGGGCGGCTGGGCTGGCTGGCAGGTCCCTTACCGCGTAGCCTTCAGTCTTCCGCTGGCACCACTTCAGCAGCGCATTGCGCTTGGAGCCGCCGTACTCCCGGGCCAAGGCAGCCAGAGGGTCTCTTCTCTCCACACTAGTTGGGAAGAAAGGAGAACACACAGTAAGAGAAGAAGCTATTGTCAGAACCCTCAAATACAAAGGAAATAATTAGATTAGAAAAGCAAAAGTCTAGGTCAGTCCAGTGAGACTAAAGAAAAACAACCAAACCTGTCACATTAACATACATTGTTAGAGTATCTCACGGTATGAAAGAAAAATTAAATAGTGTCTCTTGGCTATCAGAAGTCTAGAAACAGTTTTTTGTTTTTTTTTTAAATCCATCTGTTGCTCTGGCCATCTAGTCTCTTATTTATTAACTCAAGTACAGGATCATTTTAATGACAGACGTCTGTAGGAAACCTTTCCCATGTTTTCAGGCCACACCACAGCGGCACGTCACATACGGCAGGTTACGAGGGCTGCTTATGAGCAGGTGATGGGGGTGGAGGTGAGAGGCAAAAATCAGTAAAAACGACTCGGGGGCGGGGGAGTCTCTGCACAAAGGTGACGTAGTCCCAAGTTCATGGTATATTAACTGAATTCTGAGTGCCTGTTCAGCCAAAGGAAGTGATTTTATCTAATACCATGGCATTCTGGAAATAAGAGTTTAGGTGCTCCATCTTCAATATTTCTGTAACAGCTGTTATTTTGTAAATTTTTATGCTACCTAAAACTACTGAAATACTAGAAAGGGGTTTAAGATCACACTGCTTCTTCCGTGAAGAATGCACAAGAGGGGAGTGGCTCTCCAGCCGGCGGAGCCTCCTGCACCCCCTGCGCGGCGTGTGGGAGTCAGGAGCAGCGCAGAGTGCAGAGGGGGCAGGGCGTCTCCGGCGCAGCAGCTGCGGCAGGCAACAGTTAAGAGCAGCAGCGTTCACTGCTGGCTGTGTACGGCATCGGGGCACAAGAATGCTCACAGCGGTGTGGCAGGCAGCGCACAGGCCCGAGCAGAGCAAGGGCGATGGGCCAATTTCGGAAGGTCACCAGGGGGAAAGCCCCAGGCGCCTGGTGACGGGCAACACTGGGAAAACAAGGACCCCGCCCCCAGGGTGACCTTTCCTCCCCTAGCACATCCCTGGTCATACGGTTTAGACGTCCTAAACTTTCCTACCACTGGTCAGGCGATTTGGACCCACACAACCTTTCCTGCCCTGGCAGGATGCTGGTCCCGCGGCAGAGCCCGTGGCGGAGGAACAAGGGGCCGAAGAGTGGACTCCTGGGACTGGCTTGTGCGCCCTGGCGCGGCCACCCCCTTAGGCATCAACCCCTGGGGATAACGTCTGGGCTCTGCTGTGCTTCAGCTCCAGGCCCAGAAGAGCAGCAAAGCTGGACAGGCGACATCACTCTGACCGCAGGACTGGCTGTGCCAATGCTGACCAATGAGTGGAGACCACAACCCTGAGGGGACACACCTGGGAGGCTGATGAATATTGAACCTTGAGGCCCTCCCCGGGACCGCCCCGCCTTTGAACACCCCTCCTAGGGGGCACACCGGAGCCTTCCCCTCCCCTGGCCCCCAGGCAGGCTTTCCTCGCCCCTTCCTCCTGAGCCCAAGGGCCCTTTTTGGCCTCTGTAACTTGTTTCTCCTACAATTTGCTTCCTCTGTGCCTTTCTAAATAACATTTATCCTATAGCTTGAGCCTTGGCTCTGAATTCTCTCTTAGCCAGAACTCAAGTACTGAGGTTGCGGAATTGAGGTCCAATTGCCAGTAATAACTGGTGCCATCTTCTTGTCACCTGCAGCACTTTTTGTAACAGCGAAAATTGGGAACAACCAAATGTACATCATCAGGAAAATGGGTAAACTGTGGTATATAAAGTGTGGTGTATATAATAGAATCCTATATAGCAATAAAAACCAATCAACTGCGGATGTATGCAATAACTTGAATGACTAGAAGGAACAATTTTGAATTAAAAACCCCCAATGTTTCTATGTATACAAACTGGTACATATGCAATTTAAATAATATATTGTTTATATTGTTTGGGTATATAAAATAGATGGTGAAACTAAAGAAAATCAAGGAAAAAAATATATAAAATTCAGAATGGTAGTGACCTTGGAGGTAGGCCAGGAAGGGGAAGGGAAGGGATACAAATAGAGGGGCTCATAGGAAATTGCAAAAGCGATAACAGCTCTGGCTGGTGTGGCTCAGTGGGCTGAGCACAGGCCTGCAAACCAAAAGGTCACTGGTTCGATTCCTGGTCAGGGGACATGCCTGGGTTGCAGGCCAGGCCCCCATTTGGGGGCGCACAGGTGAGAGGCAACCACCCATTGCTGTGTCTCCCCCTCCCGTCCCCTCTGTCTGAAAATAAACAAAATCTTTAAAAACAGTGATAATAGCTTTCCTTAAACTGGAAGGTCAGGTATCCAGGTCGATCTCCATTGTGTTGATATTCCTTATATCTTATACACATTTTTGTATTATTTTGTACCCATCCAATATTTAAAAAAATATTTTAGATGATTTAAAAAGGAGTAATGGGATGATGCCAGACTCTTGGCAATCGGACTCATGGTACAGAGATTTTAAGAAAAACTTTATACTTGAATTAATGTTTTTCTTGCATAACCTGAGGACTACTCTTTCTTGTATCTGACATATTTGTGAACACAACCCCATGTGCTCCTGTGGTCGGAGCTGCTGTTAACCACGAAGCTTTGGAGGCTCTGCCTGCGCTCAGGGTGCCGGGCCTGGCCTCACTGCGTTTCCCAGGGCGGAATTTGTAGGCCTGACAAGTTAGGGGAGACTGAAATGAGTGTTTGGGAAAGACTTTCTGTGTAAGTGGATGACTAAAACATTCACCAAACAGTTTTCTTTAAAGAATACAGTTAACTAGATATGACTGCAAAAAAATAACAACTTCCAAATAATTTCTCTCCTGCCGTTGGTTTGTCTCAATGACATGAATATAAAAATAAGTAACAAATTAATTTCATTAATTTAAGCTTTCATGACTAAGGGTATAATATAAATAGCATATTAATACACATATAACCTTTTTGTATGTATTTCTGGCATAAAGAAAAGAGCAATTTCCGAATAGCATTAATTTTGGTCCTTAAAACCTGTTTTGATTATTTGAATCTCTTGCACGTAAACAAGACCGAGAAGTAATACCTGGAGCTTTTAATTAAACCTATGAATGATATGACTTCATCACTTTGGGCCCAAATATAGACTACACCCAAAAATATAAAAACAGCTGAACTTACTCAGACTTTTACAAAATCCTTTTATAATATTAATAATGGTAGTTATACTGTCTGTTATAAAGCCACCACTCCTAAAATAGCCAATTCTATATACACATGTAGCTTTCTATTCTTAGTATTTATTGAGTGAAATGCTACAAGTGTAGTACAACACAAGGGACTGAGAACGATATAAAAATGTAAGATGAGCTCTGGCTGGTGTGGCTCAGTGGACTGAGTGCTGGCCTGAGTGCTGGTTCGATCCCCAGTCAGGGCACATGCCTGAGTTGTGGGCCAGGTTCCGGGTAGGGGGCGTGTGGGAGGCAACCACACATTGATGTTTTTCTCCCTCTTTCTCCCTCCCTTCCCCTTTGTCTAAAAATTAAAAAAAATAAAAAAAGTAAGATGAAGTATCTACTGTCAGCTAAATTATAGCCTAAATAAGGGCAGAGGCATGCATACTATGCAACCATGAATTACTGGGTTGGCCAAAAGTCCATTTAGTTTTTTCCATTAAATAAAAGACACATTCTTCATTTTCACCAATAACTTTATTGATTTGGATTGGGTATGTCAGCTCTCTCCCGCTGTTGGTTTATAGTCGGTAGAGGCCAGGGGTGCTGCTAAACATCATCCAATGCATAAGACAGCCCCACAGCAAAGAATTATTTGGCCAAAACGTCAATGGTACTAAGAAACTTCACAAGCCACTTTTGACACGCTTGATCAGTCACAGCACCTTCTCTCTATACTGCACAAATCTTTTTTTGTGTTTTAGTTGCATTTTTAGCTTTTTTGAAATAATAAAGCATAACATGTCAAAAATGTTGCATATTTTCTTCCATTGTCAATGTTGAAATGGCTACACATTCACCAATTTTGGTAAGTGTTTAAAAATGCACACTAATAGGACATATATCACAATACAATCTAACAAAATTGTTTCAAATGAAGTTAAAGACAACTAAACACTACCAGAACCATCATACAGAAAAAAAGTACCAGACTTTTTGGCCAACCCAATAAATACCCAAACGAGTATAAGATATCAAGGGCAAAGAAAGAGGGTGTTGGTGCTACCAGGGTAGTTAGCCAAGACCTCCTGCATTGTTTGACCTTGAAGGAGAAGTGGTATTTAGGAGTGAAAGGACAAAAGGAAGACAATTCAGGACAGAAGCGCGTAAGCAGTCAGAAATGCTTGCGTTACGCTGCCAAGGCAGAGAATACAACAGGCTCTCATGGAGGAAGGGCTGGCCCTTCTGGCATGTGAGCTGGGGTGGGGCCAAATGTGCAGAGGCTGGGAAGCTGCCCTCAGAAGTACGGACCGGAGTGTGGACACAGAGTCGCAGGAGGTTTGTGGTGTGGCCTGTGCAGGAAGCGTGTGGTGTTTTGAAGACTGACTCAACACGGAGGGTGGACAAGTTGCTGGACAAGGTCACCAGGAGCACTGGAAAGGGAGGAGGTGGCAGAGATGTGAGAGCAAAGGTAGGCCCCTGCGGTCCCTGTCTGCTCCGTCTCCCACCTCCGCCCTCACACTGGGCTGAAGCGCTCTCTGAACACTGACCTAGAAGGGCCCCTCCAGCCCTTCTTCCCTGCCACCGTTCGCTGTACCACTGCCACCACACAAACCAAAAACAGAATTCTATAGACTCAGCGGTTCCCACCGCTTACCAAAGTGAAGACCGACCGCTTACCCTGGCAATGAAGAGCACGTGCAGTACGGCTCAAACCGGCCTTTTGGTTGTGACATCCTAACTGTCCACCTCCCAGCCGACACCGACTGGGCACCCGTTTCCACGTGCCAGGGCCCCTGCCCTAACGAAGCCCATGGGCGAGGCTCCCCAGACTACACCAGCCACCCTTCCCCGAGCCCAGGGCCCGCGCCCCACACGGTGGCACCAGCAGGCCCCCTGGCGGAAAGGCCGCTTCCTCTGTCCAGCCTTCTCGGTCGCCCTGCCACCCCCAGGTCCTCGGCCTCCGCTGCTCCTCCCGCAGCCTTTCTCTTACTCTGCGCAGTGCTCCTGTCCCCTCCTGCTGCGGGCGGCTACTGTGCCCTAACCATTTCATTCAGGAAAACGGGTACAGAAGCGAAGTTGACCATAAGGGATAAAACCAGAAGGAAGACGACGAGGTCATCGCCCAGCGCGCTTCTGATTTCTCACTGCTGAAAACGTGGTACCTGAGTTTGCTTTGTGGTTTCAGGCCCCCGGCGGAAGTGCTCAGCAGTCGTGTGCTCCCGAAGCCCAGAGAGGGGGGTCTGCTCAGTGACTCAAGCGAGGGACTCTTACGGAGATAGGGGTCTGGTTTCAGGTCCTCGGCTCGTGCCTTCAGGAGATCTGTGTGAACAACAACGTAAGCATCTGTTCCTAAAGAAGAGAAATGTGACTGGTCATCGCATTTGTTTTCTCAAGTACAATACAATTCTCATTCCCTGGTACAAACGGAAAATAGATACAGATATACAGATATAGGTTGTGGATACATAATACAAATGCAAATAGGGAAATGGTATTTTCTAGAAAGGATTCTATAGGCATGACTGACTACATAATTCAAAGCAACTAATGACAAATTAGTGTTCAAAAATATTATGAATTTCAAGATGGCACCAGAGAGCACTGAACCTATGCCCTTACTAGGAGCCTGTGCAACTGCACAGGTCTCCTGCCCAGGGAGCCAGCTCCGTCTTCCAGTCAAGTACTTGGCTTTCACTGACGGGCATCCAAGAGGGAGGGCTGCAGGCAGATACCTAAAGGGATTATCAGGCCACTGACGGTGGCAGACAAAAAGCTGGGAACTAAGAATGGTACCTATTTTATAAGAAAAAAAAAACTATTATAATCACCGGGCCTGGTTTGTTAAAAATAAATAAAAATAATTCCTTTAAGACTCCTCCTTGCTGTCATATTAGTCTGAGTCAAAGCAGGTAATGAAACAGGCTGGATCCTCCTGATGATGTTCCTTAATGGACCACAAAAGTGCAGAATGGGAGAAAAGCTCTGGATTGTCTGGTTTGTATTTACAAAGGAAGAAGGGGGAGCTCAGAGAATCGAGTGCCTTGCTCCGTGCCACAGGCAGACATGGTCAGCCTCTGGAAACCAAAAACTTTCAGGGAAGAAAATAATATTGGCCCTGCTAATAGCCACCAATTATGGGCAGTAAAATTGGGAGTGAGGCTAATTAGCTCGGAAGAGCAGAGAAAAACAGAGTTTACATCACTAAAGAAAACAACAAAAACAGCACATCAATCCCCTTGCTGCAGCTTGTGATGACCTCAGTGTTGCCGAGGCAGCCTAAAAACAGGGATTTTCACATGTAATCTTTTTGTTTAGTAAACAGAATTGCCCAGGGCAAGAGGGCCCATCAACAATGAACTATTTACTTCAAGCCAATGGCTGTTGCAGTCTCAGCCACTGTATTTACCTTATCAATTAAAAGAATGGTTTCTCTACATCATAGGAAACTTTAAAGCTGGGGAACAGAGAAGACACAAATATGACCAAAGGATCACCTCGTACACTTGACATTGGTTAAGATAAATTTCATGTCCTAAGAAGTATTTTACTACAATTAAAAAAAAAAAAAACTTGTCTAGATGCACAGTGCTATGTATATAATCCAGTTATTTCCAATTTTACATTACAGAGCAAGTGTGGAAAACACAAATCAGGCGGTTTTCAATGCTTTGCTTGACGTGCCCTCTGTGTCTAGTGAAGTTTCACACCTTTGCGGGGAGGGCAGGGGGTTGGGGGCAGGTTGACAACCTGCTCCAGGCCGCACTCACCCCTTTTTTGCTGACCTCAGACTTCGGCCACCATTCCCTTCTTCCTGGAGGTCTTTACTATGACTCTAAGTCCTACCTGAACCGTTATCTCTTCTTTATGAAGCAGCTACTCAGAGCAATCTCCAGGCCCCTAACCGAAAAGCCATGCCGCAGAATACATTAGGAAAGGCCCTACCCTGGTCCTAGCGCTGTTCCAAATCAGGGTGGCTGCTGTAAGTCATTTCATCTCTCTGGGGCTCAAATCTCACATGTAACTACACAGAATAGACCCAAGTAATCTTTAAATTCTCCATGTCAGGATTTATCTAAGTCTAAAATCCTTAATTCCATGAAAAAGAAAATAAAACTCAGGAGAGAAAATAAGGTAGTAAGAAAAAGAATTTACAGTCAAGGAGTGGAACTTATCTTACATAAACAGCTACTTTAAGAATAAATCTGTCCATGTTTGACCCCAATCTATAAGGAGTTCAGCAGGAATTTCTTTTTGTTTCCACCACGTTACAGAAATTGTCTTAACTGAAAAACAAAGGACTTCCATCTTGCAATCTGGATTTTTGGCTTCCTCTCCTTCCTACAGGCACCAGTAAACAGCTATGCAGCATTCTCATCTTTTTTGTTTCCTCACAACAGTGACCGCACAGACACCCAGAAATGGCGAAGGCGTGCATCCCGGGCAGCCTCCTCGCGAGGCTGTGTCTGTGTGTTCGGGTGCATGGCTGGTGTGGTGGCGAGCAGTGGACAAGGTGGCACGGGCCGAGGCTCCCACGGCGCTCGGGCGCGGCAGGCCCTGTCCCCTTGGCCCTTGCAGTCATCCTCTGAGGCAAATGGCACATCTGCACTTTGGAGACGAGGGAACCACAGTGCAAAGGGTGGAATAACTGGGCCAAAGCCAGACCACAGGCGGCAGCACCAAGATCCAAACCCCAGCAGCCCCACTCCTGCGCCCCGCTTAGCGGCTACTTCACACTGGCCTGAGCAGGGAGGCCCAGCGGGAGTGGAGAGGTGACATCGTGAGGGCTACGGATTACAGCCACCACAGCACCATCAAGACATGAATTTTAGCCCTGGTTGGCATAGCTCAGTGGGTCGGGCGCAGGCCTGCACACCAAAGGGTTGACGGTTTGATTCCCAGTCAGGGCGCAGGCCTGGGTTGTGGGCCAGGCCCCCAGCAGGGGGTGCACAAGAGGCAATCTCATATTGATGTTTCTCTCCCCCTTTTTCTCCTTCCCTTCCTCCTTCTCTAAAAATAAGTAAATAAATAAAAATCTTTTTAAGACATGAGTTTTAAAAATATATGGAGGATTACACTTAAAGACAAAAATGTCTCAAAGGAGGCATATTTTAGAAATTATGGAAGCAACTGATCTTCAGAATCATTTATGATTTTTAATTAATTAATAACTTTTTCTTAAAATACTTTTAAAGATATTTCCAAGATTCAGTAAAACACAACCAAAAAGACTCCCAAAGTTTGACATTTCTCCCACAAACACACTGAGAAGTGCAGCTGGCAGGAAACAGGATCTAATAATGTTCACAACACACATACATTTAGAGTTTGAAATTGTTTGAAATAAATGTTACTGATTTTTTTCTACGCTTAGCTTTATGCAAAGAAAACAAGAAAAATTAACCCCACAAAAAAGTAAGTGAAAGGACTTCATATTTAAGACAACTTACCTGAGAGGGGAAGGTCTGGGAGATCCAAGCGCTGGGCTGCTCCTCTGCCGACAGGCCGCACGCTGCTGTAAGCGGAATGCCTCTAAAAACCAAAGGGGGCACCAGCGTGTGTGGGTGCACACGCGTGTGCGCACAGTGGCTCTCAAGCTCATCAGACTCACTAGGGGCAGCTTTTAAAACAACTTATTAGTTTAAATAGATAACAAATGCAATTGGCACGATTCTCAAAAGGGCCAGGAGAAACACATGGTTAAAAGAAAGTTTCCCTTTCACTCCCATCACCTAATTCTTCTCCTTGTGGGTAGTCATTGCTGACTAGCTTTGTGACTATCTTCTGGGAATAATCTGTGTATATTCAAGGATATGTATAAAAATACTGTTTTTAAATGGCCAAGAGATATATTGAGTTGGCCAAAAAGTTTGTTTGGTGATTTCCATATGGTGGTTCTAGTAGCACGTGCTTGTCTTTAGCTTCATTTGAAACAATTCGGTGAGACTGTACTGTGACAGCTGCCATATCAGCGTGCATTTAAAAAAAAATCAAAATTGGTGAATTTTTGTGTAGCCATTTTAATATTGAAGATGGACGAAAATAAGCAACATTTTCGGCATATTATGCTTTATTATTTCAAGAAAGGTTAAAAAAAAGATTTGTGCAGTGTATGGAGAAGGTGCTGTGACTGATACGATGTGGCAAAAGTGGTGTGTGAAGTTTTGTGCCGGACAGTTCTCGCTGGACGATGCTCCACAGTCGGGCAGACCAATTTCAGCTGATAGCAATCATAGCAGGCGGGAGACAGATGACATATTCAAAATATCCAAATTAATAAAGTTATGGGTGAAAATGAAAAATGTGTCTTTTATTTTACAGAAAAAAACCAAATGGACTTTTTGGCCAACCAAGTATAAAAAAGATGCTCAACATCACCAATCAGCAGGGATATGCAAACCAAAACGAGAACAAGCTATCACCACACACTTGTCAGGATAGTCATTATCAAAGAACAACAACAAAACAGAAAACAACAAGTGGTGGCAAGATGTAGAAACCTGAAGACCTTGTGCACTGTTTGTGGGTAGGTAGGACGGTGCAGCCACAATGAAAAAGAATAGGGAGGTTCCTCAAAAAATTAAAAATAGAATTAGCATATGACCCAGCATTCTCACTTCTGGGTATATAGCCCAAAGAAATGGAAACAGTGTCTTCAAGAGGCATCTGCATGTCCAGGTTCACTGCAGCGCTATTCAAAACAGCCTGAATGCGCACCGACAGAAATAAGGATTAAAAAATGTATTTATCTAGTTTCATTAAGTACTTTATGTATATTGTTTAAATCTAAAACAAACCATTTCATTTATCTATTGCTGCATAACAAGAAACCCACAAGTCTTTGTGGGTTGAAAACAATTATTTATTTGCTCATAATTCTGCAGCCTGAGCAGGGCAGGCGGTGACAGCTCTTTTTGGCCACATGGCCTTTTGACAAGGGCCGCCCAGGTAGGACTGAACGCCCAGGATTCCAGCCAGGGCGGCCAGGAGCTCAGGGCCGGGCACCGCTCCCTCCCTGTCTAATACTGTCCTCAGTGCCTCCCTCTGTCCATGTGGCTTCTCTCTCTCGCAGCGCAGTTGACTCTTTTACATCATAGCTGGCATCCAAGAGGGCAGACGTGGACACTGCAAAGCCTTCTGAGGCCTACATCCGTAAGTCACACAAAATCGTTTCCGCCACCTTCTGCTGACCAAAGCGAGTCAAGGAGCTGAAGTCAAGGGGTGGAGGAGCCCCTCCTGCTGGTGCAGGAGTAATCGCTCAGAGACAGTTTTTCAGACTCTCCCACTCAACTCTTTGCTTTTTTTACCCTTTTACCCCAGTAAGGTCTAACGCTGTTGTTTCCAATAAAAGCTTGGTGTGGGGAGAAAAAAGAAAATGTGGTATTTACATGCAATAAAATATTTTCAGTCTCAAAGAAAAAGGCAACCCTGTCACCTGCTACATGAATGAACATTGAGAAGATTATGTGTCATTATGTGGCAAGAGCTGTACCGGTGGTGGTGTGGTCATAAGCTGATCCTAGATCTTGACAGAAGCAGTAGCCCTAGGCAGGTACTTAGAAAAAGACTTCCTGATTCTGGCAGAAACACAAGCATCAGCTCTGAGACATCCTGGGCACCTTCTCTGGAAGCATAGAACGGACTAGGGCCTTCTCTTCCAGCAGCCCGGCATTAGTTCCTCTCCACTGAACTAGCCAGGGTGATTTCTGATATTTGAAAATTAATCGTGATATACTCTTACACAGAACAGCCTCTTAAGTGGGCAAAAATTCATGAAAGAATTTCACTGTATTGCTTTCTTAAATAAGTTTAATCCACAACAGGCTAAATGCCCATCAATAGAGGACTGTTTAAATAAATCACTGCATATTAGGTAGCCTTTAAGAAATGAATTATTTCTCCAAGTACTGACATTTAAAGATGTCTTGGACACAGTCTTTCATTCATTAAACAACTATGTACTGAGATCTACTATATAACTATATGCTAGCCACTGTTCTAGACAAGAGATATAAGAGCAAGCAAAAGAGATAAAATCCCTGCCCTCAAGGATTATATTCCAATGACAAAGTGAAACAAGCCAGTGCCTGAATAATGTATAGTGTAATCCAATTTATACAACTTCTCCTCCCTATGCACACATGCGCATGCACTTTTATGCTGAAGTCTCTAGAAGGGTATACATACAATAAGCCATAAATAGTGGTTATTTGTGGGGCAAACGCAAAGGGGGAGATTTTTAACTTTTCCCTTTTAAAAGGAAATTTTGGGGAAAAGATACCTTAGAATCACCAAATAAAAAATCGGTAATAATCCAAAAGTCAACCATCAGTAGAATACAAAGGAACACTACACAGCAATGAAACATAATAAACTTCTGCAACAACATGAATGAATCTCACAGACATAACGCTGAATAAACCAATCCAGCCACAAAAGAAAAGCTACTATATGATTCTACTTACATGAAGTCCAAGGTCACTAAAACCCAGCTACAGTGACAGAGGTCAGGACGATGACTATTTCTAAGGGACTACAGGCTGGCTGGTGAGCTGAGCGGCCTCTGAGGCACTGGAAAGGCTCGAGGTGTAGGGGACGTGGTGTGCGGGGAGGCCTGTGAGCCCCGTGCCTCAGACGTGTGGCCCCACTGTGCACGAGCACAGCCAAATGGTGCGTGGCACCTGCTGTGTGCCTGCTCATAACGACCAACTGTGAGATCTTCAGGAACTTTGCAATTATTGAAATTAAACTTATTAAAAGCAAAAGTAATAGATAGAGAAAATTCAATGCTTCCTCATTATTTTACTCCACTGTACTACTGAGGTTTTCTATACCTACTGTTATTCGTATGGTAGAAATACTACATAATGCACATCTCTTTTCAACAGCATGTTCACTGATGTCATAGACATGGCTTGGAACGGCTATGACAGTAATATTTACACCACAGAAATACGCAAGCAGTATAATTCTAGGTTCCCTCCCCCGCAAAACAAAGAGCCAGTTGTTAAACATTTAAAGAAAGCTAGTATTTATAGCTCAATTTAAATAAGTAAAAGTGAGGCACAGCCTGTTTCAGTTTTATTAAATAAAATTGATGATTATAAAATAATTGTTTTATTTGGTTTTATATGTAAGGTGATAGAAGATACCTTCAAAGGCAAAAAAGTAAAACAAAACAAAACCTTAAAAGAGCCCAAACAATATACACAGTGACTCAGGACACCAGAAAACTGGTACTGGTTGATAACAAGATCAGTCTTTGCTCAGGAGGAGCAGTGTGCTGCATGTTGTTTATAACACCAAAGCCCTAGTCTTAGGAAATGCCAAGAAGCTTTGGTCTAAAACCTTCAGAGGATGGCACAGGTGACCGGTTGCACCCAGTGAACTCTTCAGAATTTATAAATTATAAACACTGTTTCTCTCTCTGAGGGCATTTTGAAAATTCTTTTAAGAAAAACTAGTTCAATGTTCTGTTCTAATAAAAAACAATCTTCCCTTAACCGCAAACTTTGAGTGCCATCTTACGGAAAATAAAGAGTTAACAAAATAGTATGCGGTTTATCGTGTCTCCCTTAGGCTGTTATTAGGCATCAAAAGTGGACATTTTAATGAAAGTTAAACTATTAGTGTTTTAGGCTTATTAAAAGTGATATTTGACTGGCCTCAAAAAAATGAAGCAATTGGTTTTTACTTCCCTTCAGTGGCTTGTGTATTAGACACTGCTCAATGTGAGGCAGCACCGCCCACCGGCCACGCATGCGATGTTCATCCAATACCTGCATGGGAGAAACAGCGGCCGCTGGGGCGGTCCTCACTGGTATTCCACTCAGGGGGCTCCTGGGGGTCTTATGGACAGGAATACTCTGTCCGGCTCCACCTGCCAAGAGATGAGAATGTTTATATGTCACTGAGTTCAAAATAGCAGTAATAGTTCCTGATTTGTTAGTTTTTGATGACTAAAAAACTATCCCGTGCTGCTAATAAAGTATTATGTATACTATTTTCTTCCCTGGACTAGTGTTGAGTTGAGGGATGAGGGGACAGGAATTAAGTAAATGGGGCTGATCTTATATACAGGACAAACAAAGAAAAAAAATGCGTAATGAGGCTCCTATGGCAATAAGGAACAGGAAAAGTCTTGCACAAAACATTACTTTAAATTCATTTCCCGTCTTCACAGACTGAATGTAATCATTGAGATGTCATGCCTTTCAGCAGCGTACTCTTAATCTAATTTGGCTGCGAACTATTTTACAGAGATAACCAGGTACATCCTAAGATTAGCTAGTACTCCAGATCTTCAAATACAAAAGGCGTATCTGTTGTAGTCAGGTGAAGAAATATATTGTTATTTTGGACAGATGCACATTTGGTTTTTTCTGTTTACTGTATTTATGGATGTAGAGTATAGATATGCATTTTTCTCATATATGTAGATAACAGTGAATAAAGGTAACTGTCAGTCAGCCCAGACATTTCCAGAAAAAGGTGGGACTGTGCTAAGTTCAAGAATGACATATCAGCACAGGTGGTCACGTGTAGGACAGGACCAGGCACAAAAAAGTCTGCCCACATGTGGCAAGGTGAGGGAGGCCAGGGGAAACGACAAGAGAGCTGAGGGCAAGGACTCCAGGCCTCACTCCTTAGGGGATGAGGCCTCTGGCCGACTCTGCTAATTCTCATTAAGCTGTGGAGGCAACTAAAAGAGCAGCGACCTGAATTTACTGGACACAGAGGCAGACAAGGACGGCGGCAAGGCAGGGACTGGGGGCAAGGAAGGGGCAGGAAGAGAAGGCTGCGTTCCACGCGAGCCAGAGTCCCATCGTTGCCTCACGAGAGCTTCAGCCAGGTCGCAGCAGGCCTCCTGTGTACAGCAGCTTCATGTGGAATGATCTAGAAGAACCCTTGTGGTTATATCAATTTGGGGCCGGGGTGGAGCAGAGACAGGTTTGATATTTGGGGTCCTGGTCTGAATTTGAGTTTTGCTTATAAAACAAAACGATCACCTACCTGGGCGTCCTAAGTCAAATGACTTGATGAGGGACTTGACGGTGGTCGCAGGCTCCAAAGGCGTTGGAGATGTTCTGCTGACACAGACACCATGCCACCGGCCAGGCGCGTCGCCCTCCAAGGGCGCGGGCTCTTCACACACAGGTCTGCGGGGCAAAGAGCGAGTGAGATTGAAAAGAGACGGACACTCCACGGGGGAAGACGTGGATGGAAACAGCCAGTGTCGGAAAACACACACAGCTGGGAGGAGAACCCCGAATTTAAATCCTGTTTTCTGCATCAGCTTTGCGTCTTCAGGAAATAATGTAAGTGCTGCTCTCAATTTTTATTGGAGCTGTTTTCTTGGGAATGGCCAGAAATAGTATTTTAATATGTAGAGTGACGTTAGCTCTAAGTACGAAGAATGTGAGTCTATGCTGCAAACCGGAAAAAGGTATATACAAATGTTATTTATCATAAGCATTTAGCCCGCTGTCTGCGGTGACTACAGTAAACTGGTTTGTCGGTGTGCATTCCAGTCCCCAGCAAAGGCTGACAAGATGGCACCTCAGGACCCCTGCAACTAGAACTCCGGATGGGATTTAGGGTCCATGAGCCAGAAGGACGCGGGCAAGGCCTGGAGCGGGACCCAAGGTGTGGTGCAGAGGCAGGCAGGGGCCTTCGCCAGGCTGAGACAGATGGTGGCGCAGGCAAGCGCCTCCGCCGCGTTGCTGGCTCCTGACCCCAGGCTTGGTTCACAGCAGAGGCAGCGGCTCCCCCGGCAGCCCGGTCCTGTGTTGGGACTTCGGGAGTTGCTCTTGGAAGCACAAGCTAGATCGCTTCTTCAACCCTCCCAACAATCCTGCAAGCCGCTTAATGCCTTTCTGCTTAAACCAACTGAACTATGACCTATTTGTACAACAGAATCCTAACTCACACCCTGCTTGCCCCTCCAGAGTGAGAATGGAAACAGTGTCCTGGAATAAGTAACGCCACAATCTTCCGTTGGGGGAAGCTTCTCCTCTCACCCAAAGTCCCCTGGGGAGTTCTCACGGTGGCTTCTCAATTTGAGCAGAGGCGCAGAGAAGTCTCTTAAAGACAGGTCACCCGATTCAATCCTCTTATGCATGGCTTCCTGATCCGGGGGACTCGACCATGTCATTAAATCTCCTTGTGAACGATCTCCCAATCTTCTCATTTCTAAATCACTGCGCTTTTTAGTGTATCAAATTGCCACAGCTGTTTTGCAAGATGACTAATTTATGAGAATGGCTCAAAGAGACTGTTTCTGGCAGTATATTTTAATAAGGTCAGTGGGAGATTAAAATATTTACTTACTGATCTTTTTGAAATTAATCTAGTTACTCATAAGCTTCTGCGATTGAATTTATTTGTCCTTAATTCTCAAAGCTTTTTTTCTGTTGATCTGTAGTCAGAGTGAACAGAATAAGTTTAAGTGAAACAGAACTTAAAACACTTAAATCACACTGCTCTACATTCTTGTCTCCACAGACCCTTTTTTTTGAGTGAAAAAATAATCAGTAAACTGATGACATTTTTGGAAGAAAATAGTAGGCATTCCAGAAACTGGTTGGGGGTTGGGTTTAAAGTTTTGTGTGTTTAATGGGCTTGGTTTTTGTAATATTTCCCCCATTGTGTCATATAGTATAAAATCACGTGGCATATACACAGAAAGAGATAAAATCAGATTAGGTATGAGCAGAAAAAGAATCTATTTCCGTCACAGCGATTCTCAGGAAGGTCCGACACAAAGTGGGCCACCCTCTCACCTGTCCATTTAAATAACGTGGTACCTCATTGTGGTTGTAATTTGAATTTCTCTGGTAATTAGTGTCATTGAGCACCTTTTCATGTATCTATCGGCCATCTGCCCCTTTGGAAAGGTGTCTGTTTAGGTTGTTTGCCCATTTTTAAATGAGATACCACCTCACACCTGTCAAAATCAACAAACGACAAGCGCTAGTGAGGCTGTGGGGAAAGGGAGCCCTAGTGCACTGCTGGTGGCAGCGCAGGCCGGTGCAGCCACTGCGGAAAACAGTTTCTCCAAAGGTTTAAAATGGAACTGCCTTATGACCCAGTGATTCCACTTCTTGGAATTTATCCAAAGAAACCCAAAACACTAATTTCAAAGAATATATGTGCCCCTACAATCACTTCAGCATTATTTACAATAGCTAAGCTATGGAAGCAACCCAAGTGCCCATCAATAAATGAGTGGATAAAATAACTGTGGTACACATACACAATGGAATATTACTTGGCTATAAAAAATAACAAAATCTCACCATTTGTGACAGCACGGATGGACCTGGGGGTAAGGCTATTATGTTAAGTGAGGTAAATCAGAGATATACAAATACCATCAGATTTTCTTTTTATGTGGAATCTAGAGAACAATATAAACAAACAAAACAGAAACAGGTTCATAGGTACAGAAAACAGGCTGATGGCTGCCAAAGGGTGGGGTTGGGGGACTAGGTGAAAAAGGTGAAGAAACTGAGGTTCCAACTGGTAGTTACAGAACATGGGGATGTGAGGCACAGCACAGGGGATACAGCCACTAACACTGCGGTAACCGCGTGTGGGCCGTGTGGGCCAGGTGGGCACTGGAAACATCGGCGGGACCACTTTGTAGAGTATATGACTGTCTAACCACTGTGCTGTACACCTGAAATGAAGACACAATAACACTGAGTGTAAACTGTAACTGAAGTAAAAAAAAAAGTAACTTGCTACCAAAGGGCCTTATAGAAACTCAGGGTACCCCCTCCTCAAAGGAAAATCATTTCTTTGAATCAAAACATCAAATGTTCAGTCAGAAGACTTGTTTAGATTCCGTTAGAAAATTGCCAGATGATCAGAAGCAACTCCCAGTCCTCCTGCCTCCAGAGAGCAAAAGGCAGCCAGTCTGCTTGGCGCGGACGAGTCAGCACGGGAAGACTCTGACGGCAGCGGGTTAGGGAAGCTGCTCTAGCCCGTGGACCCATGTTACGTAACTGCATGCATGCACACGTGTGCATGCATGTATAGATTCAAAAAACAAAGCCTGAACGGAAGAACCATATAAAACAGTTACTGAGAGCACTATTGGTTTTATTAGTACTTTAATCATAAACAGGCTTAAAATTCATTACACCAGCCTATCTTAGAATTATTTGGGATCAACCAGTAACAACCCCAGGAATAAATGAGGTACAGTTGACCCTGACCATGGGTTTGAACTGCAGATTCGCTTATGCAGGGATTTTTTTTCCCAATAATTATATACAGTATGTACAGAGAAAAAAAATATTTTCTCTAGCTTACTTTACTGTAAGAATACAGTATAAAATACATTAGCATACAAAATACACATTAACTAACTACTTATGTTGTTGGTAAGGCTTCCAGTCAACAGTAGGCTATCAGTAGTTAAGTTTTGGGAGAATTAAAAGTAATATGCAGATTCTCGGCTGTGCCCCTAACACTGATGTCATTCAGGGTTCACTGTATCACATTTCCTCTGGTCTGAGAAAGGAGGAGAACTCTGTACTCTATAAAGGATATGAAGAAATGTTTAAGCATACAGCCAGGCGTATGACAGCAAATACATCACCCAAGGCTGGCTATCGCCTCTAAGACAGGGGCTATTAGGTTCCAAGCTCAGTCCCATCACCCCAAAACGCAGCTTTCGTGTCTCATAAACACAACTGAATACCAACACGCAACCTCTGACAAGCCTAACGCGTTCCCTTTCCCCACAGCAGTTAGCTTCTTTCTTCAGGTGCGTCGCAGAGGAGCAGCTGCCCTTGGTCCGGGGCCACATTTGAAACAGCAAAAATGGGGCGTGTTTCCACCTGCTACCAGCATGTAAAACTACGATGACAACAATTTCCACAAGAAAATATGTGTTTGACATAACTCCATGGTAAGTACCATGTGTCTGAAAAACACCACCTAAGGGAATTTTCCATAAAACTCCATCATTTTAGAAGAAAAAATGTGACAAAGGTCAAATGGCTCGTCAACGGTGAATCTGGAAGGCAAATCCAGCTGTCTGACCACGCCCTCCTCCACTGCTCAATAATGCGCGGGTGTCCTGTGAGAGGCCCACGAGGGTTCTTTAAAAAAGCTGATGGTATTCCTTGGGTAAATGTATTTAACACATATTTAAGAAAAATACTACCAATATTTATTTCATTGCTCTTATTTTTATGCAGTAATATGCTCTTAGGAAGCGGCAACCCGTACCTGAGAACGGCGGGCCGCTGCAGGCGCGGTCACGAGGTGCAGGAGACGTTTCCCATCGACCACGCCACGTACGCACCGACTGCCGGTCTACCTTATGTACCTTTCATCACAGTTTAAACCTACATATATGGGCGTATGTCTGTATCCTTTATTTTTAAAATGTTTTCTGATCTCTCTGAGGCACTGTTTCCTAGTGTGGTTCCAGAACAGTCTACAATGTCAGTTTACTACAGCACTTACTTCATCACAAAGGACACCCTTTCGTGATGTCTATTTTGACCCAAGAACACGTGAACTCTTATAAGTAATTATTTTTAAAGTATTCAAAGGCAAACTACATTTGGAAAACATCACATAACAGTACTGTCACCTTCTCAGTTGGCAGATGAATGCCTGAAAGATGACCAGTCGTGCCAATCGCGTCTACGACAGGCCTTTCCGAAGGGCACGCAGCCTGGCCCAGGCCTGTCTGGTGCTGCAGAGGCCTCCGTCCCAGAACTCGCCGCACCCACCCAGCCCCCAACCTGGTGCCCCCCCACCGGGTGCCATGCTCCTTTCGTTCCTGCCTTTGTGTCTTTGCTCATTCTCGGCCCTTACCTGAAATGTAATTTTCTCAAAACATTTCTCATTTTTATGCACAAAACAAATCTAAAAGAGGTTTGTAACTCTAGAGTGAGATAAATTAGTATTTTGTCTCCCAGGGCTCAGTGTCTTGAGTTTCACTTTTGAATTTCAACATAAGCATATACACGATAATAAAAAGCCAACAGGGTGAGATGGTAATCTGAACACAAGCATCTTAATCTCCAACCCCAACAGTAAGAACCAAAGAAATACGAGGTCTGTCCAGAAAAAGTCCAGCCACTGTTAATGTAATGAGAGCGGCTTCCACAACATCAGTGCACCTGGCAGCCAA